CTGGGAGGAAAGAGTGAGAGTGATTCAAGTGGTTAGGTTAGATGAAGGAACCGTGAGTTTGGAGAAGATTTGGGTTTTTTCAGAACATTGGTATGGTCCTTTCAGAAATGGAGAGCAGTTTGGTGGATGTGTCGTTAAGGAAACTGGGTTTGCATTGTCGAAGAGAGTTGGAGTTTCAGAGATTTTGGGGGAATGGAAAGGAAGTGAAAGGTTTGCAGTAGATGGATTAGACAGTAAGCAGAAGGTAATTTTTTGCGAGTGTTATGGATTGAGTTTGAATTCACAATCGTTGTTTGTTAATCCTTTCTGCCAAACTTAATCTTTTTTTCTTGGTGAAAGGATCATCTTGTTTAATCGCAGTAGATGGATTAGACAGTAAGCAGAAGGTAATTATTTTCGAGTGTTATGGATTGAGTTTGAATTCACAATCCTTGTTTGTTAATCCTTTCTGCCAATGTTAATCTTTTTTTCTTGGTGAAAGGAACATCTTGTTAAATTAATAAAACCTTAAATTTGCAGGATCCAATCCACCAACTTGTGAAGGTACACTCACAGAATTCCAATAGAGGCCAGTCATTTCTGACTGCACTCCCAAAGAGTCTCTGGTGTTCTCTGGAAGTTAAGGAGGAAGGTGACACCTGGGCTGAGGTTGGATGGATGATAGAATGCGGGCATGCCATGACTTCAAGATGCGTTCTTCACAAAGATGGGAGATTAAAGGTTAGTTTTTTATTGTTTTTATATTGAAAGCACTAAACATAGAACAAAGGGGCGTTTAGGACTGCAATAGTTATATATTTCTACAAACATTACCTCATAAATTATTTAAATTATACACGCCACCCTCGAGCTGTGGTTGGGAGCTCCAGTTCCATCGCAGAGGTCATGGGTTCGAGGATTGCCGCACGGGTGTGTATGAATTTATGATTGATTTTGCTCATAGTTTCAAAGGAAAAACCTTTGTGGAAGATTTACAGTCAATTTTTATGAATTTACATGTCTAAAACCTAAACATCAATTTTTACACACTGGTACGCACACATAGATATATATATATCACTGAGGTCATGGGTTCGAGGATTGCCGCACGGGTGTGTATGAATTTATGATTGATTTTGCTCATAGTTTCAAAGGAAAAATCTTTGTGGAAGATTTACTGTCAATTTTTATGAATTTACATGTCTAACACCTAAACATCAATTTTTACGCACTGGCACGCACACATAGATATATATATCACTTTATTTATGCATGAAAAAGATGTATTTCACTTTTTAAAAGTTCAAATAGTTGTATTTTTTATGTGATGTGAAAATTTTGATTGAATAAATGTTAAAAGCAAAATTTAGGTGTTAGATATCTAGATACATAAGAATTGGCTGTTATGTATGTAAATGCTCCAAACTTCTCTTCTCTACAATCAATCAGTTACATGGCTTTGTAAATTTACCAAATAGCTCTCTAGAAGAAGCTCTAAACCCAAGCAATTTTTGGTTTTTTGCTAAAGATTTTTTTCAAAAGTAGAGCGTTCTACTTTTGATTACATCATCATAAAGACGATTTGGAACTTTGGTCCGTAGAGCTTATGATATTTCTAGACATTTATAATTATATTGTCTTCCCAATAATTAGAATCAAGCATTTAGTAACCAAAGTTTAATAATTAATAATCATATTCAAACCAATCTATCTATGATAATCATATCGAGCCGCAATAACCATATTTAGAATTTGAAAAATCAAATTTTAAAGACGATTTGGAACTTTGGTCCGTAGAGCTTATGATATTTCTAGACATTTATAATTATATTGTCTTCCCAATAATTAGAATCAAACATTTAGTAACCAAATTTTAATAATTAATAATCATATTCAAGCCAATCTATCTATGATAATCATATCAACCCGCAATAACCATATTTAGAATTTGAAAAAATCAAATTGTGTTAGGCTATGTAATATATTGTTATAAATGAACTTGTGCTCTCGATGAAAAACTCAAAGTAGGCTTGATTAATACTCGATCAAATTTTTTCATATTAATAAATAGGGTCATTCACATACATACTACCTAATTCCTATGTATTTACATATCATTACTTTTTACATATATTTACATATCTTTATTAGTTAACCTAATTTTATAATTAATACATCATTATTCACCATATTAAGTATATCGTTTTTTTAATATTAATTAATATATTATTATATAAATATATATATCAATTATTTATTAATTATATAATTTAGGTTAATTATATAATATCATATATTTTTAATCTTTTTCTTCTTTCATAGATTATGTTTCACTCAATATTTAGTAGTTTCGATTGTCTTTCATAGTTTTGCCTCACTTATTTCACACTAAATGTCTTTGATACGATGAGTATAATTTTTTTTTTAAGTTTTTAAAATAATTTATTTTTCATGAATAAATATGTCTATTAATTTAATATAAATCATTCATATTTCTTTATTTCAATGAATTAGTTTTCAAATATTTATTTATATTATTTAATAGCAAGAAATTTAGTTTACAATTTATATATTATCTTAATTGGTAAAAAGTAATTGGGTTTTAAATTCAAATTTATTCAATTGCTTAATTGTTTAGGATGATAAAATTATGGGATAATTACATACAAATCACCCGAAACATTGATATTTACAATTTAGCCACCCAGATGATTTTTTCGAACTACCAAACCAATGCATTTACTCATGCCACGATCAAACTATTGAGAATTTGATAAGAATGAAAACAATGGGTTGGGGTTTTATCATGAATTTTGATATTTGAGTGAGAATTTGAAAAATGGATGAAAATACATGGGGTGATTTGTAAATAGAAAGTTTTGGGATGTAATTGCCCCAAATGACGAACATCTTTTGCACGATGATGATGACGATGACGATGATGATGTTGGACTACTCATGGATGGCGAACGATGAACTAGCGGCACAAGTGGAGAAGAACCAAATGGTCTCTCTCTTACTCTTAGGAAACTAAAGAGTCTTATGGGGTGAGGTTGAATGGGAGATATATGTGTAAAATATAGGAAGACGAATAATACTATCCATAGACTTAAATAAATTCAATTTTTAAAATTCTTTTAGGTCTCTCTTTTTCCTATTAAAGCAAATTACATTATTCAAAAGGCCTAGAAAAGTAAGCATTGATGAGCATATGGTATAGTTTCTTGCAATTCGCTCGTAATTATATCTTCCATGCGGAGTTGTGAACGATTTGATTTCTATTCAATCTAACATTAGGCTCATGAACAACTTAACATATTTTGAGTTGAATCGAGCAAGATTGACTGAATCATAGGTTGATTTAATTGGATCAAATTGTCACAAATTGAAACATGGTTCGGCCCTTTATTTTGATGTATATATTTTTTTAAGCTAATTTTTTGTTTCATTTTACAAACTAAAATTGGGCTCATGAACAACTTAACATATTTTGAGTTTGAATTGAGTCAAGATTGACTTAATCATAGGTTGATTTAATTGGATCAAATTGTCACAAATTGGAACATGCTTCAGCCGTTTATTTTGATTTTTTTTTTAAGCTAATTTTTTGTTTCATTTTACAAACTAACACCATATACAAGAAGACATTTACATTACCCCATAGATTCATTCATACACTAGCATACATCTCATTTCAATAAAATAAAATAAAAAAATCAATACAATTTTGTTACACTTCTTAATTTCCAAATCACATTTATAACCCTACTCCATACCTTTCTTAATATTTACTTGTTTCATTGCTTCGCTTTGCAGGACATGATGATCCAAGTGGAAGCCAAAGTGTTGGAGGGCAAAGTATATACTTAGCTTCTTAATATAAAACCTTTTCACCAAATTACAAAGAACAGATTTTTGAGTCTGAATGTGTAATAGTTTTGATAGCTTTCATCTTGTACATGTTTCAGGGATGTCTTGTTTTTTTTTCTTTTTGTTTTTTAGGAAATTTGTATTTGCATTTCTAACCCCCAAAGTTTGATATGTACTCCTTATAACACCTCAGTTCATAACCTATACATGAAAATATGTATTTCACTCAATGGAACAATGGTGAAAACTTTAGTGGGGTAAAGGCTTGTTGTTATTATTGCTGTTGTTGGTATTGAAGAGTTAAGAAGTATGCATGTAAATATGAAATTTTAGGTGTTCGGATATGTAAATGCATAAGAATTGTGTTGTATGGATGTAAATACCAACTTTTTATTTTTTTATGCATAAGAATTGTGTTGTATGGATGTAAATACCACCTTTTTTTAAAAAAACCAACTTTTTATTTTTTTAATTAATTGGTACATAATGTTATTTCAATAATGGTGTTATCAAGACAATGAAAATCAGAGCGGGATTGAATTGGAAGGAGAGTTCACAGTTTAACAATTAAATTCATAATCAAGGAACTCTATTAGAACCAGTCACTATTAAATTTGCATAGTTTCACATCATATTCCCACGTATATTGGTCGTGAACAACGAAAAATGTGCATTTATCCGCGACATAATGGTTGTGATTTTAGTTTCCAACCATTAGGTTATGGGTGCGAATCACATATCTGAAAATAAATGACAAAAAATATGAAAAAGTTCATAGCTCGATATATGTCTCATTTTGATTTTTACATTCATAACAAGCAAATCTTTCATGCCACATATAAAATATTATTATTTTAATTTTAAAAAGTAAAATATATCTTCTCATGCATATGTTATCGGATGGTAAATGCACAAAAATTGAGCGGTATAATGAAAATGAACAAATACAAAGATTCATGGGAGAGCAAACTATCATGTAATTTCACAAATTATCATGTAATTTCACAAATTTGCAAGTTCCTCACTTTATTTCATCTATGTTTCAAAAATAATGTCAGTGTAATTATCTGTACTATAGTTTTAATGGTTTCAGGTAAAAGAATTCTCTTCTAATCCTCTGAGAAAGGGTATTTTTGTAATAATTTAACACAAACTTTAACTTACACTGAAAACAGCTTTCCATGGCTCCAGATGCTATGCAGCAAAACTCTTAATTTCTGTACTGAAGATACATAAATCTTCAAGAGCTCTGCTGTTTCTTCTCACAATTTTCATATAAAGACACAAAATGTAGAATTTTACAAGCAAGACCTTCGCTTCTTATGGATGGTTTGGTTTGTTGATTCCTCGCTGATTACTCTCTCGTGCTCATTCTCAGACTATTCCGCATCGTCCTCCTTCCAAGGCCGAGCCCCAAATTTCCCATGTTTCCTTTTCGCATCATCGCGACGAATTCACCGTAGTCGATCCGGCCATCCTACGGCGGAACATGAAAAAATTTATGGTCTAAGAAACTCCGAAAGATTAGCAAATGATGTAAATGATTCCAACATACATATCAGGCCACACAATTCTCATACATTTACATATCTATCACCTAAACTTACATATTTACCATGCATAACACTCAAATGCTAAATATCACTATTATAAACTTTTTAAAAAGTGAAAAGCATCTTTTGATGCATAGGTGTTTGATAGGAAGGTGCTATAAAGGGTAAATATCAAACTTTCAAGTGATAGATATGTAAATGCATCAGAATTGTGTTGTATTCACGTAAATTTCCCATAACTTCTGTTGTGAACTAAGCCATAAGTTTTTTGGATGTAACGGTCATTTTGAAATGGTGGAATTTATAGGGTTCATATGGCACTCACTAGCATGAAATGAACAATGGGGATATTCATAAAGCTGACTATAAATTCAAATAGTTGGGATAAAGCTAATGATGATGACGACGACATATGTTAGCCCGATTTGATTATCAGATCGGTTCGGTTGAAACTACAGCGATAAAAGAAAGTAAGATTCGCATATATACCACTCAATTCTTTATGTATTTAAACATTTATACATATACACCACTTTACCTATGAATGAAAACTTGCATTTCACTTTTTTTAAAAATACATTAGAAAGGCGGTATCTTTTTATGTGATATGAAAGATTTAGCTGGTAGATACGTAAAAAAAGTAAAGTTTAAGTTTAAGATATGTAAATACATAGGAATTGGATGGTGTGTATGTAAAATGCCTCTAAAATGAATGGAAGCATAATACTTACATTATCCTGATCAACTTCTTTAATGATGTCGTCAATGAACACATTAGTGATGTTATGCTCCTTGCAGGCTTGTTGAAGTTCATCAACTGTTATGTACCCACTTCCGTCCTTATCGAAGTACGAGAACGCGGCCGCCAAATGTTCTTCGTGCTCCAACTTATTGAGATGAACAGTTGCAGCAATGAACTCTCCATAATCGATTGTGCCATTGCTGTCAACATCGGCCTGAAATGAAGTCTTAACGATTACTATGGCCAATAATGATCACAATTTTATAAATATGCAGAATAAATGAATCACAAAAGGAAGGCTTAAGCTTTTTGTGCTTGTAAAGTTGTGGCGGGGAAAACAAGAACCTAAAAATTATTGTGGGAATTTATAAATTTTTATATTTTTTTAACAAAAATTAGGGCAACAGTTTTCTTACAATCAATACACTTTATTAACGGATATGGTTGTAAAAAATAGCTTCGCACCACAAAAATTTCGAGAAAGTATTTCCCACAAATAAAAGTACGGTGGTAGTCTAAAATGCAACACATGTATAAAACAATCCCAAACATATAGTTAGATTTCATTTGAGGTGATTGCAAACTTTAGTTAATTTGGTTGTAAAGTCGTCACGAGGAAAGTAACTTTTTTGAAAGCACCTATGAGTATTATCATACATATTTTTATATTTTTATTTTAATTAAATGAAAATATGACACTAAATAGGACGCAATGGAGAAAAAGGATTCAAGTAGTCGGCCCCACGTAGTGGGATTAAGGCTTTGTTGTAGGAAGTCAGCAGCTCTCTTACCAAAGTGCTATATATGTGTGTGTGTGTGTCCGAGCTGCTTTCTTACTAAAGTTTTACATGTGTGTGTACATCAAAACTGTCATCACGAATCTCAAAGCATTCGAACGACCCAGACAACCAAGGCGTCCTACCGCCTTACTGCCAACCACGTAGTCAAGAATTGATTGACACACTAAGGCGAGAGATTCGAAAGGCAGATCACACCGACAATCCCGACCAACCGGGGCGTGGGCGGGAATCTTTGATCGCGTCTAATCAGTCGATCAGTCTTTACCTCGGTGAACAAGATCGACATTCGACCAGACGCCTCGACCAACCGACACGTACTTCAGAGAGGCACATTCGCCACTCAGTCATCATCTCAGTTGGTCGATTTCAAGCAAGACGGTAAGCCAATTGTCATTATTTTAAAATTCAAATTATAATACCTATATAGTATAAAATTCATACGATTAATTAGACCATCAATTATATTAAAAACGGGTTCCATATCTACTCCCTCTATTTTGTAATTGTACAAGATATGTCTTCCTTTTTGTAATTGTACAAAATATGTCTCTACAAATAGAAGACAAAAATACAAACAAAGGGATTTTTACTGATTCTCTTTACAAGAAATTCTTGACTTGATATACTCTCTTTCTCTCTTACTTCCTTCACTCAATCCTAAACTCTTGGGACGTGTTCAAAAAGAACAATTTAGGATCCAACAATGTGTGTGTGTTTGTGTGTGGGTGCGTGTAAATATGAAAGTTTAGGTGTGAGACATGTAAAAACATAAGAATTGTGTGTCCACATGTAAATTTCCCTTAAGGTTTTAGTATATCAAGCACTCACGGCATCCATAAGACATCGAATTTCCGTATCTTTTAATGTTGAACGATATCTTCTAAGACCAGCCTTCAGCTCATCGAATGTAATTGTTCCACTACTATCTGTGTCCATTGCCAGGAACATTTCTCGTAATCCAGCTATCTCCTCTTCTGAGAGACTTTCTGCTATGACCTGGAATGAAATAGAATGATTCACATTAGACACAAAATGACCTGATTCGTGGCACTTGAAACATTGCTGTGTTCCACTACTATCTGTGTCCATTGCCAGGAACATTTCTCGTAATCCAGCTATCTCCTCTTCTGAGAGACTTTCTGCTATGACCTGGAATGAAATAAAATGATTCACATTAGACACAACATGACCTGATTCGTGGCACTTGAAACACTGCTACTTACAAATCTAGCACTCTCTTTCATCCAATTTACATATACTTCGCTCAAATATCAAAATTTACGATAAAACCTCAACCCAAAATTTTCATTTTTATCAATTTCTCAATGATTTTATTGTGTTGGGCATAAATGCATCCGTTCAGCATTTCAAAAAATCGTCTTCAGTGATAGCTTTGTAAAAAGCAATACTTCGAGTGTTGTGCATGTAATTATAACAATCATAAACAGCTAGTTTTCTTAATAAATGCAATATGTAACGATAGTTTAAGAAAATCATGAAATTATTTAGACTTTTGGCATTTCAAAAAATTGTCATCAGTGATAGCGTTGTAAAAAGCAATATTTCGAGTGTTGTGCATGTAATTATAACAATCATAAACATCTAGTTTTCTTAATAAATACAATATGTAACCATAGTTTAAGAAAACCATGAAATTATTTAGACTTTTGAAACTGCAAGGCCAATTTCTGATGATCCATATTTTAAGAAAATCTAGAATGAAATTATACTCACTCGAAGAGCCATCTTCTTCAATTTATTCATTGCCGAGAATTGCTTAAGCCGAGAGAGAACCGCAGGATCCAGAGCGCTATCAGGAGCAACACCATTCTCACAAATCCAAGGATGACCTAAAAACAGATAAATTTGTCAGAAAATTATAGAAAATTTTACATGCATACCACATAATTCTTATGTAGTTACATATTTAAAACAAAAAATACAACATTAACACTTACATCGCTTGGTGCCATAAATCTATGCATGAAAAGATAATGATTGTGGTATTTTTTTGCAGTGATATTAAAAATTTGAGCGGTTTGCAAGTAAATCTGAATGTAAATACATAAAAATGTTGCAGTTTGTATGTAAATGTCCCAATGTTATATTTGACTAAATCAATCATTCCTACATGCTCACAGCTCAATGTTATAATATCATTCCACCAGGATATATATTTCATGCTCATGATTTAGCACTTTAAACTCCTACACCATTTGAAAAAGAAATGAACAAAAAGATCGAAATAGAAAAGTTATTAGAAGATTGAAGAGTGGACAGACATAGTACTTCATGGGCGGTCAATCGATCTTGAGGACGAGGGCAAATCATTTTTCTGATAAGATCCTTAGCACTGTCAGATATCAAAGGCCATGGTTCTGAGTCAAAATCAAGCTGACCCTTTAAAACTGCATCAAATATGCCTTGTTGTGTTTCTAAATAAAAATAGATAAATAAATGCATTAGTCGCAAAACATGAACAAATAAATGAACCAAAGCTTGGGGCCGCAGACATACCGGCCCAGAAGGGCGGCACTCCGCTCAACAATATATAGAGTATAACACCAGCTGTCCAGACATCAGCTTCTGGTCCGTAGTGTTTGCAGAGTACCTCTGGAGCTACATAATATGGGCTCCCAACCACATCAGTGAAGATCTGGCCTGCAAAAGCAGATTGAAAATTTGAGAGACATTCAGATAAAGAAAAAAAACTATTGATTTTGCTAAGAGTAAAGCGTCAAAATGTTAAATTGATCCCTATAATCTTTTAATGGGGGCTAAAAGTCTTCAATGAGAACTATTTCAACCTACATTGAGAAAATATGAAGACTAAATTGATACTTTTATAAATACTGAAACTATAATGACATTTTGCAAAGAGTTAGGGGACCATTTTGACACTTCTCATTTTACCAAGCAGATGTACAACCGGTTAACTTAAAGATGACAGGTTAACTGGTGCAATGTTCTTATAAGGTTGCCAGATAAGAATTTTAAAGTTTTCATCCATCGGAACACAAACCTTTTGCTCTAGTATTATTGGAAAAATATTACATCAGGATTCCTGATGCAATCAGAGTCCAATGATGAGGCGCCACGTGTCAAGTGGGCTCCGCCATTTTTAACACTGGCCAATACCAGTATATTACAATGGAACTCATTTGACACGTGACACCCCATCATTGGACTCCGAACCCAAGCTGCGTTAGGAGTCCTGATGTAATATTTTCTCAGTATTATTGGAGTTATTTTTGTCTTGTTTTTTAGTGTTCTAGTTTGAATTTAAGCATAACATGTTAATCACGACAGTGCCTATGAAAATATGATATGCCCTATAGTGTTTTGATTATCCTATTGGTTTGGTTTTACCATTGCTCAACATTCGTTGAATTTCTTAGCTCTGTACATGTCATAAGCACGCATTCCATTTTGGATTCTTCAACATTAATATTTATTTAGTTGTTCTACTTTTTTTTTCTTTCCTCATCTTCCCTGCTGCAGCATAAAAATCTGAATTACGCCATCAAAATTCAAGAAAAATTAAATACTATAGGCTTTTCATGCTTTATAGCACATCATGAAGCATGCGCTTTGCGTATCAGGAAGCTTGCGCTTCATATCAGGAAGTGTGTTTCACATCATGAACACTTTGATTTTCAATGCTTCAAAGCATTTTGGAACCAGTTCGCTTCAAAGAATCTCTACTTGCAATTTAAAAAATGTTTTCTGATTTTGCATCTAAGCACATTAATTGTTGCTATAATTAAAAGTAAGAAACTATGAATTATGACCTTTTGATTCTTTGTGCAAGACATTAAAATTTTCTACAAAAACAATGAACCTTCAAGATTAGAATGAAAACATTTATTTTTATATATAGATATAGATATATATAGACAATGTAATACAAGGTAAGTTATTCTATGATGAATTTTTTTCCATACCTTGAGGAAGAGTGGTTTCTCTTTTTATAACGCACAAGAGAGTTCTATGATTGGCATCTTTATATTACTTGACATTCATAAGAAATGAAACCCCATTTTACCTAAAATACGGGTCGCAAATATCCAGCCATACCAAAAATCTCTAAGAAAATTTTCACACCTAGGCATTATTTAGTAGCATAATTTAAATAGGATTTAGCCATAGATTTAGCATAAATCGAGCCAAATATCAAAAAAGTAAAAATTAAATTCATAGTTCTGTTAAATCGAATTTTTTCAGGTTTCGTTTTTTCTTCTCACATTTCGTCTCTTTTAAGACGTAAATCCAGATTTAGTAAATCCAATTGTGAGAAGGATTTAAGAATTTATTCTTCATCGCTCGTGAGCTCATCTCCGTAGACTAGTCTATCGAATCTATTGATTTGATTAACCCTATTTAACGTAAATTCAGGTTGCAGCCGAACAACACCCTAAGGCCTAAGCAACTACTCAAAGCAACTTTAGCATGGTGCATGTTGAAGTTACA